ACACGGCTTTCCCCGAGAGGCTGCTCCTTCACGCTGCTTATTCACATCCACGCAAACCACCTGTCACTTTCCCTCCCACAGAAATATCCCTGCAAGATCCAAGTTCCACCACATGGACTCCAAAACCCGTTTCTTTGGAAGCATTAATTACACACCCTGAGAGACACGCTCTTCCCTTCCTCCGTACGCCTTCCCGGGATGAGGCGCTCGGCTGTTTACGCACGGTGTTACTACAACACTGAACAACAGGAGCCCGAGCGCTGCCAAGGGCTGCGAGAGCGGGATCCCCCCGGCTCCCCCCAGCACCCCGGGATCCCCCCGGCTCCCCGGGATCCCCCCGGAACTCCAGGATCCCCCGGCTCCCCGGGATCCCCCCCGCTCCGCACAGCCCTGCCAGCCTGCCGAGCACCGCCCGTGCTCTCCCCGCGGGGGTCTCGGGTGGGGTCCGCCGGGGCATCCTCCCCAGCACGGGGGGCTGGTAACCAGGCAACGGTGGGATGAGGGAAACCGCGGTACCCGCCGTTGCCATGGCAGCCGCCGGGGCCGGGATGCGGGCGGGTCGGGGCGAGGGGCGATGCCCCGGGGCAGCGGGGCGGGGTCGCGGCCGNCGGGCACCCCCAGCCCCCCGCTGCCGGGCGCACCCCGACCCCCCGAGCGAGCCCCCCGTTCCCTCCCTTCCTCCCCACCGGCCCCCCGAGACCCCTGGGCGGCCGGACCCACCTGAGCTGGCCGGGCGGAGCCGGGCAGAGCCGGGCTGGCCCCGCGGCTCCGGGCGGTGCCGGGGGAGCGGAGCGGAGCGCGGAGCGGGGCTGCCGCACAAAGGGGAGGGGGCGCGGGCAGCGGCGGGGGCGCGGCCAGCACGGCCCGGCCCCCGGCGGCTCCCAGATCCCCCCAGAGGAAGGCACGGGGATGCTCAGGGGGATGGAGCGCCTCTGCTCTGGACACCGCTGGGGGTGTCCAGCCTGCGGAAGAGAAGGTCCAGGGAGAGCTCAGAGCCCCTTCCAGCGCCTAAAGAGGCTCCAGGAGAACTGGAGACGGACTTGGGACAAGGGATGGGTTGGAGAGACGAGAGGGAACGGCTTCCACTGCCAGAAGAGAGGGTTAAATGGGATATGGGGATGAAATTCTTCCCTGTGTGGGAGGTGAGGCTCTGGCACAGCCTGCCCAGAGGAGCTGTGGCTGCCTCGTCCCTGGAATTATCCAAGGCCAAGCTGGGTGGGGCTTGGAGCAACCTGGAATAGTGGGAGGTGTGTCAGGGATTTGGAGCTTGATGGCCTTGAGGATCCCTTCCAACCCGAACCATTCAGAGGTTCTGCAGAAGTCAGGGTGCCTGCAGGGTGTGGGTGTGGAGGGGAAACGCTCACCTGGCTGTGAAACATCCCTTCCCACAGCACTGCAGGCCTGGACTCTGCCCTGAGCTCTGCTCCGGGCATGGGGGGAGCCAGGGGCAGACTGGGAGCTCAGAAAACACACACAGATGAATTGCAAACACGACACAGAGGCCCTGCTGCCTCCTGAGAGCTGGGAAAGGGCTGCCAGGCTGCCAGGCCAGGTGCCCAGCTCACAGGGCTGCAGTCACGTCACTCAGCATGTCTCAGGTCAGGGTGGGCAGCAGGGCCACTCTTCCAGCCTGGCCTGGCTCAGTTTCAGGCACACCCAGGACCTGGTGCCCGCATTGCCTGCCCTGAATCCAGCAGCATCTGGCAGCTGCAGAAAACCAGACCTGGAGTGGCCCAGGGCAGGTCAGGAAGCAGGGCACGCTTCAGCCAGCCAGGGGAAAACGCTGTGTGGCAGAAGGGCTGGCCAAACAGCCCTGTGCAAAGCTCTGAAAGGCCTGTCACAGAGCTTTGTGGCAGGCCCCAGGTGTTCCCATCGCACAGCCAGGCGTGTTGGGAGGAGCAAGATGGGCAGGGAGATCCTTGTTCAGGGTGCCAGGAGGGAACAGGGTGCTGGGGGCACTGCCAGGCAGCTGAGAGCCACGGGCACCACCCCGTCCCAGGCCAGACTGGCACATCTCTGTCTGCCTGCTGCTGCCCTGGAGAGCCATTTCTTCTTGGAAAAACATCTCAGCAATGCTGTCAGCACCGAGCTGGCTCATCCCCTGCTAACTCCAACGCAGCTGAGATAGAAATCAGGCAGTGACGGCACAGCCATCTCCCCGCTTCCAGTAAAACATAAAAAGAAAATAGACCAGCACTGGCATTTCAAGGCAATTATTCAAAGGGTCAAGAGATACAGACCAACACTGAGGAGCTGGAAAGCATCAAGTCCCTCTAATGCATAGGGATAACAGGATAAGGCTGTCAGTTACCCTGCAGAGAGGGAGGCAGGGATCAAGCCATTATAATCAAGTTTTGTGCTTCTCTGACCTTATCTGCCTCTGGGCTGTCATTATCCACAGCACACAGTAAAACATGCAGGTGTGACCATGCCCTGGGGGCTGCAGCCAGCATGGTGGGGCTCTGCAGAGCCCTGAGCACAGATGCCCCGTGGTGCAGCCTCCAGGACACAGCTGGATGGTGCTGGATGTGCTCCGTGCTCTCCCTCCCTTGGTTCTTTATTTACAAATTCCCAAGGAGCTGCCCAAAGTGAGTAGAATCAGAAAAATCAGCAGCAATTGTTTTTTTTCCTGTACAGACTCAGGTAAAATAGAGATCCCAATGTGAATGTGGGGAGAGAAGAGGAAAAGCTCCAGCAGCCGCTCATGGTGAGCATCTCCTCCTCAGAGCTGGGCTGCTGGAGAGGCTATACCGAGCTCCAGCTTCTCTTCTGGAGAAACTGGGCCAAAAGTAATGCAGAGGCCAGGCAGGAGATGCTGATTTCTGTTAACAAGGGGGCTGGGCTGGGCTGCTCAGCTGTCTGAGAGAAAGGAGCACAGCCACTAGCTCCAGCAGGGCGTGATTTCATCCCAGCCTGGGTCCCTTACCCTGGAGCAGGCATCTCCTCGTGTGGGCCTGGGGCAGGGACAGAGCCACCTGCTCTCCAGAACCTTCCCCTGCAATTCAGAACCTTCCCCTCCAATTTTAAGCTCTCTCCCTGTAAAGCCAAGCTGGGAAATTGCCTGTTCAGTGGCAACGCAGCCCTTGGTGCCGTCAGGGACACGGGAGAGCGGAGCAGTGACAAGGCTGTGTGCAGCCATGAGGCTGTGTTTACCCCAATAATACCATTTTCCACCAGGCCAGCCGTTCCTGGTGCCCTGGATCCCTGCAGGAGCAGGGACTGAGCACTGGCTGCTCCTGCACTGCCCCGCTGAGCACAGCTCCAGCTGAACTCCACCCGTGCCAAGTGGTGATGTTACTGACCGTGGAAAGGAACCAATCCCCAACTAGAGGAAAAGCATTTTTGCAGGGAAACATCATCGCTGGAACCCTATAAACAAATCTGTTTTGACACAGCAGAACAAAGAGCTATAAAAGGAGAGATCGGGAAAACCGCGGCTAATGGGCGGTAATTCACGTGGTGCCTGCCAGGCTGTATTTTTGTAATTTGTGTCCCTTTGGGATGCTGGCCTACGATTTCCAGAGCTCAGAGGAGCTTGGGAACAGATGTGGGGTGATGCTCAGCACCCCTTGTCTCAAGAGATGCTCTGGAGCAGGACACTGAGCAAGCAGAGGGCTTTGCAAGAGCCACAGGTGATGCCTGTGCTGTGCCAGGAGCTCCTCGGGGCTGGGCTGGCACCCACCACAACCCTGCTCCCCCAGGAGTGGAGGCAAAGCGGTGTCCAAGGTGTCTGATCCATCTGCACAGCGTTTGGGAGCAGCACGGCAGCCGTGGCCAGGCTTCACGGGAAAATAATCACTCCTAATCTGCTTAGGAAACTTCATCCCTTGGGAAAGCACAGCTTACCTGCCTGTGGGCCTGGGGACACACTGCTGGATGGCAGGTTTAGAAGGAATAAATTAAATTGGTGTTAGGGGCTGAAAGCATTTCTCTGCTGTGAGAGACTTTCAGAGGAGCAATAACCCCTGAGGAGGAGAAACCCACAGCAGAGGAGAAGATGCCACACGTGCTGAAATTACCATTACTCCCAGGAACACAGCTCCAGCAAGATCAGCTCTTACTGGGTTCCAGTTTTTGGGTTATTCCTTCTCAAAAGATCAATTTCTCCAGTAATGAACCATCAGGAACTGCTCTGACTTATCCACAGAAACCCCCAGACCCCCTCTGGACAAACCCAGGCTGTGTCTGTGACTGAAAGCCCACTGAATTCCCACTTTAACCAGTCCAAAACAAAACAGGGAAGTCAGGGCCCCGTCTCTAACTCAAGATCAGCTGTTTCTGTTTATGGAAAATTGTGTTTCCCTGCACACCGAGAGCAGGCACTGCAGCACGTGCAGGGAGGAGCAGAGCCCCCCGTCCTGGCTGGAGCCCAGCAGGGCTGCCCAGACCCTTGTCCAGGTGATGAAGAGGGAGCAGTGCCCTGGCCCTGCACGCTCTGTTCTTCATGGGCTCCTGCACCGTGGGAGGTTTCTGGGCTGCTCTGAAAAGGGATTTGAGGTCAGGCTGACTTGGCTCTCCCCAAAAGGCACCGAATCCCTCCCTTTGTTTCAGTTCAGGCCGGGGGCAGCCACCCAGCACTGTCCAAATCTCCAGAGGTAAAGCAAGGCCAGGAACTCCCCCAGCCCTTCCCAGCAGCAGGCAGGTGCAGCCCCAGCCCAGGGAGAGGCAGGTGCTTTCTGCACCCCCAAAATCCCAACACAAACCACAGCTGCCCACAACCCTCCCCAGGGGAAGTGGTCAGTGCTGGGAAATGTTCCCAGGACCTGAGCAATGAAAACATCCCTTTTCTCCTGCCACCAGCAGTCCCCCTGAGGGTGACAGGCAGGAAGGGCCACTCCACCACAAGCCCCACATGCCCGCTCCCCAGGGATCCTTGGCACGCTGCTGCTTCCCTTCCAGCCCATCCCAAAGAGCCACCTCCACGTGGGACACTACCAAAACATTTATTAGAAGAGTGCAGGGTGGCCAGGCTCCACAGGACCCCCCCCTGCAGCTGGCCACAGGGCTGGGGAGGGGAGCAGGCAGGCTCTGCTCAGCCTGGGGATCTCCTTGTGTGCCCCGGCATCCACCAGGAGGTGAAGGCACTCGTTGTCTCGAGGGAAATGTCCCTGCTGGGTGCGGGCAGGGCGGACAGGCTGGCTGTGCCATCCCTGCAGGCAGGAGGCAGCGCTGGGGCACCGCAGAGCTCCCGGCAGGGAGATCCAGGGCTGCTCCCTCTGGGCACTGCCCCCGAGGGTGATTGCTCTGAGCCACACTCCAGCGTGGCCTTTGGCAGCCGCTGCTTCTGTCACAGCTCCCAGAGCCACCCCCAGGGCTCAGACCGCCCCAGGCTCTGCCAAACCCTGCCCGGAGCGGACTGAGAGCGGCTGCGGTCCTGCGAGGGAGCGCCGGCTCAGAGTTTGTTGGAAAAACAAACAACCCGGCATTTCTCTGGCAGGCAGGGACAGCCCGTAAAAGGCGCTTCCTAAATCCCTCGGCAAACACAAGAGCAGCGGCCGCCCCTCCCGGCGGGAGGAATATCCGCAGCTCGGGGCTCCCCTTGGCAGCAGAGCCGCCGGCGGAGCCCGCAGGTGTGGCAGGGTGGACAAAGCTGCCACATCCTGCGCCCTAAGGTGGCACAGCCTGGCTAAAGGAGAGAGCTCCCTCTCCACGGGCACTGCTGGCAGCCCCTCGCCCAGGAAGCACTCGCACAGCCTGTCCAGACAGGTCTATTTACAGGAGAGCCGCACACACGGGGCAGGGAGGTGTCCCCAGCCAGCACGGCCAGCTGCCGGCATGGGCTGTGTCGCTGTGTCCCCCCGGGCCTGGCTGGGTGCTGTGCCCAGCCACCACCGTGCCACCCCTGGCACCAGGCGAGGGCAGGGGCACTTTGCAGGTGCTGGGTCCAGAGTTCAGCCGCAGGTCCCCGGCTGCACGGACAGTCCAGAGAGGTGGGGATTGGCTGGTGGCACCGTGTCCTGGCAGCAGCCTGGGGCAGTGGCCCGTGCCAGCCGGAGAGGCACAGTGTCCATCCTGCCCTTAGTCGTTCTCGCTCTGCAAGGGACAGAGAGGAGAGTGGGGTGAGGTGCCAGCCTCAGCTGTGCCCCCAGCCCAGCCCCTCTCCAGGGCAGCCCTGCCCTGCCACCTCACCTCCATTTTGCTGTATATCCAGCTGAGGAGCTTTGTCACACGTGTGTACACCCCGGGCTTGTTCTTCTGGCCACATCCTGTCCCCCAGCTCGTCACCCCGGCCACATACCAGCGGCCATCGTCCTCGCACACCAGGGGCCCTCCGCTGTCACCCTGGCTCAGAGGGGCAGAGCAGTGAGGAGGGGAGGCAGGGGACGCCCCTCTGTGGGTACCCAAAGCGGGGCAGCTGTGCCCCGGTGCCCCCAGCTCACCTGGCAGGCGTCCTTGCCTCCCTGCAGGTACCCGGCGCACATCATGCGGGGGGTCAGGTAGCCCTCGTACACCTTGTCGCTGTTGCAGATCTTGTAGTCGATCAGCTTCACCTCGGCCTCCCGCAGCTTCGGGGACGTGTTATCTGCAAGGCAGGGAGAGCTATGGGGCAGGGGGGGCCTCGCCATCCCCCACCGCCCCCGGCCCCTCACCAGCGAGGGAGGAAGAGGCTGCTTCTCACAGGTCTCGTTTCTGCAGAGCCTCGCGGCTGGCAGGGCAATCCCGAGAGTTATCCCTGCGGGAGAGCCCTGCAGGGCCCCAGCGGGGCTGTGCTCGGGGCAGGGGCTGCCTGCGGGGAGCCGCGGTCCTGCCTCACCTTCATTCTCCCGGGTTTTGCCGAAGCCGGTGATGAAGCAGGACCGGCCGGTCTGGAAGCGCTGGCCGTACATGGGCAGGCAGGCGGGGCGGACCTGGGCTGGAGGAGCCGGGATGGGAGCGAGGGGTGAGTCACCGGCACAGAAACAGCGCAGGGAGGAGCGTGGGGCGCAGGAAAGGCTGCCCACCTCATCCCATCCCCTCCCTGCCCATCCCACCGGCCCCGCGTGGGGCTGGGGGCACAGCTGAGCCCACGGCTGCGGGTGCCAGACCCTTCCTGGCCATGGGACAAGCAAGGTGGCCACAGCAGAGCTGGATGTGTTTAAGAAAAGCCTGGATGTGGCACTCAGTGCCGTGGTTCAGTTGAGGTGTTAGGGCATGGGTTGGACTCGATGATCTTTAAGGTCTCTTCCAACCTGGTCATTCTGTGATTCTGTGAATTCTGTGGATGCTCCAGCCGGCAGCAGCCCCCCACACCCCATGGTTCACAGACACACCTCTCAGTCCTGTCCATCTCCCTGCCCCCCAAACACCACGCAGCCCAGCCCAGGTGAGCTGGGTGACCTCACCTGAGAGCGTCAGTGGCCTGGAGAGCTTCATGAGGGCGATGTCGTAGTCGTCGTGGTCGTCGCTGTAGTTGGAGTTGATGATGACCTGGGACACAGGGATGCCCTCCATGGGCTGCTTCAGGTCCGACACCCCTCCGTACACCTTCCAGTCGTCCAGGATCTTCATGCTGTTCCTGGCAGGGCGAGATGGGGCAGGAGGAGTGAGAGGCGGGCCAGGGGCTGGGCTGGGTGCCCGGGCTGGCAGCAGCACTCACATGAAGAAGCAGTGGGCAGCGGTGAGCACCCACTGGGCGTCGATGATGGTGCCTCCGCAGATGTGGATGGGCCCGTACTGCACGCTGACCTGCCAGGGCCATTTGTTCACAGAGGTCTCCTTCCCACCGATGATCCGGCCAGAAATCCTCTGCCCGCAGGCTGGAGGGGACAGCAGGGCTGGGAGAAAGGCTCGGGGGGACACACAGAGCATCCCCACCACCCACAGGAGCCACACTTATTGCAGGGAATGCAGTGTTGGTGCTTTTCTACCACCCAGAACATTTGCTGGAAGTTGTCCCATCTGCCCACCCCTGTGCTGGGAAGGGGGGAAAGCGCTCCCAAGCCTGTGGAAAAGGGACCCACCCTCAGCTGTGTCCTAGCCAGTCCTTACTTGTGCATCGCAGGGAGACGTACTTCCCCGTGAGACACTGGGAGCTGCGGGAGAGAGGAGGGAGAGGCAGCCTCAGCCCCGTCCCTGAGGCACCAGGGCAGGGGCAGGGCAGGTGAGCCTGGTACCTGTTGAGGCTCTGCTGGATGGTCTCTCGCTCATCAGTCACCGTGAGGCTCTTGCCAGAGACACGCAGGGGGATGAACTCGGTCTGGGACGCACTGGGAGGGGAGAGGACAGGCAGTGAGTGTCCCCCCATGTGGGCACTGCCCACCTGGTCCCTGCCCTGTGCCCAGAGCAGCGCTGCACACGCCGCCTTCCAGTGGGAAAACACAGCACAGGGGGAAACAGCATGCCAGACCCCAGCACCCGAGCAGAACAAGCCATCCTGCAGGAATTACTTCTGAAACCCCAGCTGCCGGCAGGTTTTCCTGGAGAGGGACTCGTCCCAGTCGCTGCTGCACACCGGCAGCCACTGGCTCTCGGTGCTGGAGTAGACGTGGAGCAAGGACTCCTCGGATGAGAAACGCACTGTGGGATGGAGCAGGAGGGTCAGGGGTGCTCCCGGGGCTCTCCCCATTGCCTCCACCCCAGCTGCCGTGCCTCACCACAGCCCAGCTCGTCGCTCCTCTGGGAGCAGTCGACGACGCCGTCGCAGCGCACGGCGCTGTCCTTGCAGCTCTCTGCTGGCTCCTTGTACAGGATGCCCGTCTGCGACCTCCAGAACATGACTGGAAGCAGGAGAGCACCACGCTGAGGCCAGGGCTGGCCATGGGTGAAAGGCTGTGCCCCACCAGGGTGGGCATCTGGAGGCGTGCCAGGCACAGGAGCGTTGCCCATCACTGGGTGTGAGCGTGAGGCGTGTTTGAGCGAGAGTGAGGAGCTGCTGGACACAGGGCTGGGGGAGGACTGGCCACCCTGAGCACCCCCTGTGCTGCCCAACTGCTGCAAGCCCCTCTCCCTTCACCCACAGGAAATGCATTCAGTCTGTGAGTGCTTCAAGCCCACGGCTGGACAGTGGCAGCTGGATGTCAGCAGGATTAAAGGCATTCCCCGGTGACTGTGCCCGTTCTGTTGTGGACCATGATTTGTCTTGGGGAGGGCAACTGTGGGTGCTGCCGGGTGCCCTGCTGCCCACCAGGGTGAGCCCAGCAGAAGGAAAGCCCACTGCAGTCCCAGCCCCCCAGTTCTGGCACCAGCCCAGGCAGCAGATCTCCTTTTCTCCTTCCCCAGCTCCTTCTCTCCACCAGATGTCAGGAACACCCAGGGAATGGCAGGAGCACATCCCTGTCTCTGGGTTTCCCTCTGGCAATTCCCAGTGTGGTATCCCCAGACCCTGCTGACTCCCAGCTCCTCTGAGGCCCCCTCCAGGAGCCCCCCCCGGGCTGGGCCCCCACTCACACAGCAGGATGAGGGCCACGAGCAGCACGATGAGCACGGAGACGCAGAAGATGAGCGCGAGCCGCCGCTGGCTCATGCAGGGAGCTCTGAACATGGAGGATCCTGGCAGCAGGGCAGAGGCAGGGGTCAGGGGGCAGCTACCTGCTGGGGGCCGTGCTGCCCACCTCAGGGCTGTGGGAGAGCAGGGCCGTGCACAGCCCAGCCTGCCCTGTGGTCTCTGTGCTCTCCCTTGCCCCCCACACCCCTGACAGCCCAGGAAAACTCCAGCCCGTGGCTGGCTGTGACCTCCCTGCCTCCCTCCTTCCCTCCCCACCCTGGGAGGCACCAGGGCCATGGGTCAGCCCGGGTCCCATCCTCACGTGTGCTGTCACAGGCCGAGCAGGGGCTCGGGGCCGGGCCGGACTCGGGGCTGTAGGGTTTGAAGCTGATGCCCAGGACGTTCTCTCGAGGCGGCGGAGCTCGGGCACCGAAGATGCTGCTGGCCGTGGAGACATGGAGCAGGCTGGGAGGGACACTGCTGGGCGAGGCAGTGGTCTGTGGGCAGAGGGGACTGTCACCAGCGGTGACTGCTGCCCACCAGAGTCCCCCAGCTGCCAGCCTGCCAGCTGTGAAGGTGAAAGCAGCACAGAGACGGAGCTGAGCCCCCCTGGCACCACAACGAGCCTGTTCCTCACAGAACCACGAGCCTCATGGAGAGTCACCACCCCAGTGCCTCTCTCTGTACCAGAACCTGAGCCACATCCCACCCAGGATGGCCAAAATCCTCATTGTCACTGGGTTTTTCCCCTTCAGGCAGCTGAACTTCCCAAAGGCATCACTGTGAGCCCAGCAATCAGCCGGGTATTTGGCATCGTGACAGTCACGCCGTGGCCCAGTTCCACGGGGCCAGTGCCCCAATTTATGCATCTATCCTTAATTAGCCATTTGAAAAATACAGTGCAATTTCCAGCTGTCATTTAGTAATACTTAATAATCGGTGTTTTCCAAGCCCTGAAACGTCCTGCACCCTGGAATGCTGCTCTGCAGTTGTGTCACTCCTGATCCATGAATTCACAAAAGAATGTGTATCTGTTTCCTTTCCTCAAAATACACTCTTCCAAATGCTCCCTTGGTGACAGAAGCCAGAGCCTCTCATTTTCCTCCAGAGAGGACCTGCGAACAAACCCCAAAATAAATTCTGCTTCCTCTACCTTTTGTAGGATGGATGGGGCTTGGAGGAGCCTGGTCTGGTGGGCGGTGTCCCTGCCCACGGAAGGGGGCTGGAACTGGGTGAGCCTTCAGTCCCTTTCCATCCAAACCATTCTGGGGAGTGAGAACTCCTGAGGGGGAGCTGCCACCCTGCAGGGACCACTCACCACCCAGAGACGGGCTCCAACACATCCCTGTGGGAGCCTGTCTCTGGTTTTTGGCCCTGCACTGCTGGGATCACCTTTCTCCATGAGCAGTCATCCCTTTCCCTGCCAGGCTGGGGAGGAGCGCTCGGGCTGGAGCTCTGGAGCGGGCAGGGCAGGGACACGGGCACGGCGGGGACACTGCTGGGAGCCCCCTCGCCCTTCCAGCTGGCTTTTCTCCCGCTCGTGTTTCCTGCCGGGATCCAGGAGCCCTAATGAGCAGGTCGAGAGGCTGCTGGCGCTGCGTGAGCGCGGCTGTGCCCTCCCCGGCGAGGCGCTGCTGTGACTTCCTGGGCATTATCCGTGAGTCACGGCCGGCGTGGCCACGCGTCCCGCGGAGCTCCGAGCCCGGGGACACACCTGCCCTGCACACCGGGGGCACACCTGTGCTGCACACTGGGGGCACACCTGTGCCCTGCACCCCGGGGACACACCTGCCCTGCCCACCGGGGACACACCTGCCCTGCCCACCGGGGACACACCTGCCCTGCCCACCGGGGACACACCTGCCCTGCCCACCGGGGACACACCTGCCCTGCCCACCGGGGACACACCTGCCCTGCCCACCGGGGACACACCTGCCCTGCCCACCGGGGACACACCTGCCCTGCCCACCGGGGACACACCTGCCCTGCCCACCGGGGACACACCTGCCCTGCCCACCGGGGACACACCTGCCCTGCCCACCGGGGACACACCTGCCCTGCCCACCGGGGACACACCTGCCCTGCCCACCGGGGACACACCTGCCCTGCCCACCGGGGACACACCTGCCCTGCCCACCGGGGACACACCTGCCCTGCCCACCGGGGACACACCTGCCCTGCCCACCGGGGACACACCTGCCCTGCCCACCGGGGACACACCTGCCCTGCCCACCGGGGACACACCTGCCCTGCCCACCGGGGACACACCTGCCCTGCCCACCGGGGACACACCTGCCCTGCCCACCGGGGACACACCTGCCCTGCCCACCGGGGACACACCTGCCCTGCCCACCGGGGACACACCTGCCCTGCCCACCGGGGACACACCTGCCCTGCCCACCGGGGACACACCTGCCCTGCCCACCGGGGACACACCTGCCCTGCCCACCGGGGACACACCTGTGCTGCCCACCGGGGACACCCTGCACACTGGGGGCACACCTGTGCTGCACAGTGGGGACACACCTTGCTGCACACCGGGGGCACACCTGTGCCCTGCACACCGGGGACACCCTGCCCACCGGGGACACACCTGTGCCCTGCACACCGGGGACACCCTGCCCACCGGGGACACACCTGTGCCCTGCACACTGGGGACACCCTGCACACCGGGGACACACCTGTGCCCCGCACACCGGCACACAGCTGCCCTGCTCGGGCCGTGCGTGCCGAGCCCATCCCCGCAGAGCCGGCAGTCACAGCACCCCGGGCTCCGGGCCACCCGCCCTGGCGAGCAGCGGCTGTGCGGGGCCACCCCCGGCATAAACCTCCTCCCACCCCCGCGGGCCCTTGGCACAGCACCGCTGGTGTCCCCCGGCCATGGGGAGCCACCTCCCCACCCTGTGGAGCTCCCCTGGCTCCTGCGAGAGGGGAGGAGCAGGGAGAGGCACCTTCTGTTTCACTGCAGCAGCCCCACTCTCACCCCTTCTGCACCAGCCTGGACCTGCTCCAGGTTTCCCCACACCCGGATTTCCCAGCACTGCTGCAGCCCTGCGTCCTCCCAAGGGTGCCAGGGAGCCCAGGAGAGCCCCTCAGTGTTCTCCTCGAGGCTGGCAGGGCTGGAGGGTGCCCTGCAGTGCCCTGCCCTAAGCCTGAGCAGTCACAGCACTGGTGGGATTTCAGTTCTCACGTGCCCACATCGTGGGGCACCCCCAGGTACCCTCAGTGCCCGCTGTGGGTGACAGCCAGAGCTGTGGCAGATCCTGACCAAAGCAATGTGGGGATGCCAGGAACCCTTCCTGGGAAGAGGATTTCTCCTGCCAGCATTGAAATGAGGTTTTTGTAAATACCCTTTTCCCCTGGTATTTGTTTGCTGTCCCCACGTCTGATGTGTCACATCTCACCCTGCAGCAGCTGTAACCCTTTGCTTATCAGACCAGCAGAACTGCAGTCCTCCAAAGGAGAAGCCTCTCCATCACACACAGAAAACACAGCCCAGCCTGCCCAGGGAGCCAGCAGTGCTGGATGCCACAGCACTGCCACCTGCACTCTGCAAATACATCAAATTAACACCGAAACGTGCCACAGGTCAGACTGCTCTGAGCGCTCCTCAGCAGGCAGCACATGCCCTTTCTTACACTCAGCTGCTTATTTCCTTCAAAGTCTTAAGTCTGAGTAATTCTGTGGGCTGCCAGAAAGGGTAACAGAGCCCTTACCACGGGTGAGCAGTGCAGGGCCACTGCAGCAGAGAAAACAGCGGTGGTTTGGCAGAGATGTTTCTGCCGGGGAGAGCGCGTGACCCCGCTGAGCGAGCGATGCCTCCTGCCCACAAAACCTTTACTCATCCCTCGCTGGCTTTTGAGTAAAAGTCAGAGGCAGAGCCGAGCCCAGATCACAGGCGCCGCTGCGGTTTGAGCCCTTTCCCCGCCGGCCTCTGCTGCTCCAGCAGCCTCAGGAGGGCTCCACGGCAGAGCTGTGGGGAGGGGGCACGGCCAGCCCCCGACTGGCACAGTGCTTGCCATCACAGCACAGCCAGCAGCGACACTGGGGACGCTCCTGGCCAGCTTGGCTCACCTTGCAGACAGAGGACACCGCCTGTCTGCATCCTGAGCCCTCTGCTAAACCTGTCAGGAGTGCAAACACCGCCTCACACCCTGTCCCTGCTCCAAAGCTCGGAGCAGAGCTGGGCAAGGCACGGGCAGCAGCGCTGAGGTGCCCGTCCCCTTCGCACCGGGAGCTGCCACGTGCACCGACCTCCCTCCACACCCTGAGGTGGAGGGAAGGCCCCCAAACCAAACCCACGGCAGCCAGGAGAAGCACCAGGGGAAAGGTAATCCAGGCTGGGCTGGAGGCTGCAGGGAAAGCAGCCAGCAGGCAGCCGCAGTTTCGGAGTGGGAGGGAAAGCGGAAGCCAGGGAACACCTGGGTGTTGCAACCTGACCCAGGGCCCAGCCGCGTCCTGGAGGAGAAGGACACAGAGCTCCCAAAAACCCGGAGCATCAAGAGGGGAGAGAGGCAGGCTGGCTTCATTGAGCTGCAAGGAGCTGCCTCAGATCCTCCTCCCCAGCTGAGCCTGCCCTCAGCACGGCTCCAGCTGCCCACAGCCCCGTGCCCAGTCTGGGAACTCCTTCCCCTGGCTGTGAAGCTCCCATTGTCTGAGAGCAGCTCAGCCAGCACACAAGGGAGACATTGTCCTCGCCAGGGACAGGGGTGACCCCAGCCTGTGAGAGCCCCTCTTTCCTCTGGGTGACAGTGTCCTGCTCCAGTGCCACTGCTGAGTGGGGCCTGCCTGGGAGGGGACAGAGCCCAGCACAGAAGGGGGCGAGAGGACACTGCCAAGACCCTGGCACACACAGCAGTGAAATCCCAAAGCCAGCCAGTGTCACTCTGCAAGGGCAGGTGACCGGCTGTCGACTGAGCCAGCCCAACATGGCCAGGGACAGCTCATCCTGTGCCAGGGTGGGCACCCTTCGGGCACAGACCTGAAGTGTTCCAGGGGCTGAGTAAGCACCGCTCACCTCGCTCCACAGAGGGGCAAACAGAGGCCTGGAAAGACAAAGAGATGCTGCTGCCATTGCAGAGCCAAGGGTGGCTCCTGGCACTCCTGATGGCCCATTTAACCCAAGTGACAATGCCAAGGTGGCCCAGTGGGGTTGTCTGGTGTTGGGCAATTGTCTCTGCATGTGGCCATGCCAGTTCCTGCCCCACTATCACCAAGGTTCAGCGATGCCACCCTGCTTTGGGGCCACCCTGAGCTGGGACCACTCTGCATCTCCTCAGAGCCAGCCAACACCCAGCACGAGCCCGCTGTGCCCCCGCTCCTGGCACCCCCAGGCCAAGGGGCAGGAAGAGGACGGTGTCAGAGCTGGCTCTGCCTCCCCTGGAGCCCCACGCACGCCGTCACCGCCGCCTTTGTCCCGGATGTCGCTGGCACGGCCGGCGCTGCTCAGCACGGTAATTACTCGCTGCCTCGCCCGGTGCCCAGCCGGGATGGATGTTTTCCTCATGACAGGATGCTCAGCAAAGCCCCACATCCAGGGCTGAGCCGGTCCCAGTCAGCCCAGCCCAAAAGGGCGCTGGGGAAAACTGCCTGGAGAGCAGGCGAGGGGAGCAGCAGGGCTGTGCCCACCAGTGCAGCGCTGCTGGAAAGTGCCGGGGGGCTCAGGAACGTGCCAAGAGGCACCAGATCCCTCTGGCAGCACCAACTCTCCCCTCAGGTCACAGCTCCAGTGCGGCAAAGTACCCGAGAGCCCTGTGTGCCAGCACCAGGGATGCTGCCGGCTGCCCTCCCTCCGGCTGCCAAGGGGTGCCAAAGGGAGGCAGCGGCTCCTCAGGCAGCTCCGCCGGCTCCTTCTCCCTCCGGCTGCTGCGAAGGATCACCCGGGAGAGCAGCAGGGACAGAGCGGTCCCCCCTCCTCCTCCTCCATGGGGAGCGCTCCGTGGAGCCCGCAGCGCCCCGCGCCCCGAGCCGGGAGCCGCCCGCACTTACCGGGGAGGTTTTGCCGTCCATGGGCCGGGATCGGGGCTGGGCTGGGCTCAGAGCTGCGGCACGGCCATGCCAGCAGCGCGGTGCCGAGCAGGGCCAGCTCGGCGGGGCCGGGGCCAGGCGGTGTTTGGCTCGTACGTCAGTGCCAGCAGCAAACCTGTCGGACCTGCCGCCCGGCTCCGCCGCCGGTTTCCCAACCGCTCCGGGCAGCCGGCAAAACACCTGCGCCCTGCCGGCCGGCCCGGGGATGCGGGGCACGGCCAGGGGGCCCTGAGAGCCGGGGAGACCCGGCCCCAGGGAGCAGCAGCTCCTTGCTGCCCTCCTGGCTCACCCGAGCCCCCCTTCCTCCCCTCTGTGCCCCCCCACTCACTCTCCTGCCCGGGGGATGCACAGCCATGCCCAGCCAGGAGAATCTCGCTGCTGTGACCCAGAAGTCAAGAATTCCAAAGGAAATGAAAAGCTGTTTCCCTCTGGTTTCTCCAGAGGCCTTTTAATTCCTTTGCTGATGGATGCAATGCTTCTTCCAGGAGCCAGCAGAGCCTCCTGCCTCCCCTGCAGGCACAGCCTGGGGGATGCTCTGCTTAACCAAGAGCTCAGGTAGAAACAGGTGAAAATTCCTGGATTAAAGGAGAAAGGCCTAACTTCATCCTGTGCTGAGAGCCAGACCCATGACCCTCAGTGCCACGGGTTTCTCCTGGCATTGTTCTTAGTGTAAGTCCCTCGTTCATCCAGCTCCCAGCCACACCTGCTCATCAGAAGGGCAGAGATGAGGAGGGACATCCAGGCTTGGAGGAGCCCTGCTGCAAAGCCCCTTCCTTTTGGGGCTGGAAAGTTTGTGCTGGATCCCTCAGACCCCTCTTGCTCCCAGGATCCCAGCTCACAGAGGGGTTCTGAGCCAGCCCTCACTCCACAGCGCACTCCTCCGTAGTTTTCACAGGCAGGAGTGGTTTCTGGGCTTTTTTGTTTGCTTTTTGTGCCTCTGCAGGCTGTGCAAGCACTGAGCTGCACCCCCAGGCAGCCCTGAGCCACCATGCCCTCCTGAGCTGCTGAGTCCACTCCAGAAAGGGATTCTCAGCAAACAGCTCCAGGAGTCATTCATTGCTTGCTACAAAGCCACGTACAGAGAGCAAGTTCCAGGGAATAGGGAGCAGTGTGCCTTGACCCCAGCAGCCTGATGGTAAATGTCAGCATGCACACAGCTCCCGGGTGAAATCCTCACCTTTCCTGCTGCTCTGAGCCCTCCCTGCACCCTCCTGCCCTCCCAGCCATTAAAGAGGAGCTAAAACACACAGCAGAGCTGGCTCCACCAGCCCAGGAGAGCTGCTCCAAACCTCCAGGCTCGAGGGAATTGGGATGAGGATCCCTCTGCCCTGCTCTGTCCTGCGGCAGGGCTGCACAGAACCAGCCCTCCGGGGCCATCCCTGCCCTGCACCACCTGCCTGACCCTGCTGTCACCCTGGGAAAGCTTCCTGAGGGACAGCAGGGAGGCAAACACACAGCCCCAGGTGCTCCTGGGCTGGGTTTCTCCGTGGTGTGTCCATTCCAGGGCCAGCCACGTCCCCCCAGCTCTCACTGTCCCCTCAGCAGCCTCTCCTGTGGCACCTGGCCATGCCCTCCCTGCAGAGCTCAGGCTCCAGCCCGAGTCCCCCTGGCCATCCAAGCATTCTGCAGAACTCTCGTTCCTCCTCAGCCTCTTTCGCTTTCCTCTAAATTGCCAACCACTTCTCCCTGTTCTCTGAACGGCCTCGCCCACAGGGCCAGCCCCGCCGTGCCTTTTCCACAGAACTCCCACTTTCCTGCCTTTTGGTCCCGTTGCTTTTCGTTGTCACGGCTTACACAGAACACAGTCTGTGGCTTTGTGTGGGACTGCCTGTGCTTCATCTCGGGACTCCTCAGCTCAGTGGCTGCCAGCTGTGCCTCGGGGGCCAAGGGCAGAGTGGAAGGACATCATCAGCTCTGCCCTGGGTGGGGATAAACCCATGGCAGGGAGGGATCTGCTGCTGGTGCTCCTGCCAGGCTGCGAGTCTGTGGCAGCTCTTGGCCTTTGTCAGGAGGCCAAGTCAGGGAAAACAGGAGAAATCTCCTACTTCAGGCCTTTAGGATGGTTCTTCAAAGAGCAGCCTGCATGTCTGTGCCCACCGTGATGCTCTGACTGTCCACAGCACTTTTGGTTTCTCTTGCTCTTTTTGTCTGTGTTTTTTTCACTAATTCCCCAGTGGGAAATTCCTCTTTTTGAGGAAAATCACTCTCCATCACATGAGGGCCCCAGGAAAGCCCTCAAGCAAGCTCTGAGGCAAAGCAGAGCACTCACACAGTCTGTGGGGTGGTGATTCAGGTCCCAGCACCAGCAGACAGGCAGGACAGCACCGTGGGCAGACCCCACAGCCATGGGAACACAGAGATACCTGGGGGGCCACCAGAGCCCTGGGGACAGTGGCAGCCCCTGTGTCACACTGCATTTCCAACGTCACCCCTGTGTGAGGGTGTTCGCAGGACACAGGATAGCACAGAGGTTCTCAGAAATGGAGAAGGGGGAATTACAGGCTGATCCCAGAGGAAAGCCAAAACAGAACCCCCTCGTGGGGCTCCAGGGCTGTTAGAACCTGGCTGGATTCAGCTGATCCAGGACAGGACACGGTGCTGTGCTCAGGAAAGCCCCTGTGCCAGGTCACCCTCGGTGCTAACACTCACCTGTGCCGTGCTTTCAACATCTCATTTCACAACAAAGCAGCAGAGACATCCCTTACTCGTACTTGCCTTTCTCAGCACGGCCCAGCTTTGCTCAGAAAAGCCCCAGAACTGTTCCTCTCAAGCTCTGTCGGAAAGCCCAGCCCAGGCTGAGGCTTTGGCTGGGGGTGAGTGGGTGGACAGCGAAGAGAAGTGGAAGTGGCTGCTCAGTGACTTTCCTGGCGCTGTTTGAACGCCTCCGAGACGTCACTGAGCCAGCCCCTGGGGGAAAAACGAGCGCTCAGCTCCCGCCGGGGCACAGCCCGGCCCCGCTCGCCCTGCTGCCACGGAGGATGCTGAGCGGCCATGGTCCCCTCTGCCACCGCCCTGGCGCTGTGCCTGGCGCTGCTCCTTGCCTGCCCCACGCTCGGTGAGTCTCTCCTGCTGGTTTTCATCTCCCTCTGTGAGCTGAGCCTCACAGCTCGGGGTGGGTTCCTTGGGATGGGGGATAAGATTGGAGCCGCAGCCTGGACACCTCTGCTGGGTGCTCAGCCCTCAGATCAGCGCTTAGGAGCAGGGCATGGCCAGGGCTCCCTGCTCACCGCTTCCCTTTCCCTGCTGTTGGGAGCCCAAAGGCTCAGTGAGGGGCACCAGCCTGGCTTGTCCCCGCTGTGTCACCGTGAGGGACCACAGGCACTGGGGACACAGCGCTGGGCTGGGGGTTTGCCAGCAGGCAGCAGCTGCTAGTGACACCTGCAAGGGAAAGGTGGCAGATGTCATCAGCGGGGCTTTTCTGCCAGGTGACAACACGGAGGTCACGCAGGAGGTGTGAAAAAGTCTGGTTTCACCCAGGCAGCAGATGAGCAAAACAGGAAAGCCGAGTCCAAACAGCGCTGGTGGCGAATGGCAGGGGATGGGGGATGCAAATACAGCTCCTTTCCTAGGGCTGAACACACCAAGAAACCCCAGCTGGGCTGTCCCAAAAAAGAAAGAGGAAGGAGAAGATGGGGCTGAGCAAATCCTGGAAACTGGGAAGAGAAATCTGGGCGAAGGCTTGCACGTTTCGGGTGGTCAGCGCTGTCACGTCACCCGTCACGGGTGATGCTGCAGGAGGCCCCCCAAGGCTCCTGGGGGCTGAGGTGGGACGGGGCTGTGCAGCCCCCCTGAGCTCAGCGTGTGCCCCGCAGGTGAGGGGCTGGCCATGCCCCGCTCCGTGCGCTTCGCTGTGGAGATGGGGCGGAACCTGCTGAGGTGGGAGCCGGGCCGCGGCTGCCCCAGCAACGCCAGCTACGACGTGGAGTACATAGTGTGAGTAACAGCGAGGGGAACCCGCGTCCCCCACCCTGCCCCGCGCCGGATTCCAGCCCTCTGCTCACCCCCGGTGCTTCCCCCCGCAGCTACGGCTCAAGAATCCCCTGGACAGCCATCCCAGAGTGCAGCAACACCTCGGAGCACTCCTGTGACCTCACCCGCTACACCCCGGACCCGAAGCAGCGCTACCACGCGCGGGTCAGGGCCGTGGCCGGGAGCAACGTGTCCTCCTGGCAAAGGACCGGCGGCTTCTTCCCACAGCAAGGTGGCTTGGGCTCTTCTCCAGCCTGTGCTGGAGCTGGGGGGGTCAGGGTGCCACGCTGCTTGGAAAGAGCTGTGGGAGGAATGAGAGCTGGGATATTTCCCTCCACGCCTTCCTGGAGGGCAGGTGGGGTGTGCAGGGGGATGGGGCAGCCCGGGGGTGGGTGGGACGGTCACAGCTCAGGCTGGTGCCGCAGGGGCTGGGAGCTGTGAGCAGGAAACAGCCCTGACCTGCTGTTGTGACTGTTCTGCTTCCAGCTGGCCTTCGCCTGGCGGGCCAGAGACTCTCTGTGATGGGCAACTCCATCCAGGTGCGGCTGCGGCCGCTGCTCCGCTCCGGGAACGCCACCCTGGAGCACAGCGACTTCCAGAAGGAGATGACCCGGTACCACGTGTACCTCAGGAGGACACGGGACAACCACACGGTGAGAGGAGTTGCTGTTCCCGTGCTGTCCCCATCTGTCCCACACGGTGCTGCTCAAGGGGAACACCAGGTTGTTAAAGCAGGGTCGTCTGTAGGAGTGAATGCTGAGCTTTCTCACAGCCACAGCAGCACAGAGAGGCTTCTCCGCGTGTTTTATGGCAGAGTTTTCCAGCCCTTGTGGGGATTTTGGATCTAGCTGCTGTCGTCATTATTGCACCACAACCTGGGGGCTTTCCCAGGGGACAGAGGAGGAGGAGGAGGAGGGAGTGAAGCAGGAGCTGGGGGCTCCCAGGTTCCAGCCTGTGCTGTTTGTTGCAGATCACGGTGGTGAAGAACAGCACCGAGTTCACCATCGGCGAGCTGTTCTGGCTCACAGAGTACTGCCTGAGCGTGGAGCCCAGCCTGGCCAGCCTGCCCGTCCCCGCCACGCGCTCCGGCGAGCAGTGCGTCACCACGGGCCACAGGGACAGTAAGTGGGGCCCAGGGAAATGGGGAACCACGAGATGCTGACCCCCCCAGCCTCCTGGGAGTGTGGGAGTCCATGGCAGAGCAGGCTCTGGGTGCTGTGTGCACTGAGGAATCCCCTCTCCACCCTCAGCCGGTCACGTCCTCTCTTGCAGGGAGTGCAGAGCTTCTCCCGGACATCCTCAGCTCCTCCTTCATCATCCTGTCCTTGCTGGGCCTCCTGGGGGCTCTGCTGGTGTGTACCTACACCAGGAAACCCGTGAGGACACCATCTGCCCTGGTAAGGCAGGGACAGTGCCTTTGGGGCCAGAGCGAGGGCGCGGGCTCGGGGAGTGCTGGGAGAGGCAGGCACCAGCCAGGGATGAAGCACAGCTCACTCTCCTCTTCCTCTCCCTCCCAGAAGTCCCTCATGAAGCAGACCTCCCTCTGGGGGGAGCATGAGCCCCCATCCTCGGCCAGCCTGGATGCCGACCCCATCCAGCAGCTCTTCCTGTGCCAGAAGGAGCCCCAGCCGGGCAGAGGCCCTGACAGCAGCACCCACACAGCCCAGCTGCCCCTGGAGCAGGGCTGGAAGCTCCCAGCATGGCCCAAGGACCAGCTGGGCCTGCTGGGACCCACGGGGAGCAGAGACAGCAGCGGCACCAGCACCGACAGCGGCATCTGCCTGCACATCCCTTCCTCCTCCTCCTCCTCCTCCTTGAGCTGCTCCACAGGACCCCAGCCCCAGGGCTACAGGCAGCAGCTGCCCACGGCTGAGGACAGCGGGGTGGGCTTGGAGAGCCCCTGCCCTGCTGCTGGCTGCTCCTCTGGCAGCGGGAACGCCAGCCCAGGGCTGTCCCCTGCCAGCAGCCAGGCAGAGGTGGAGTTCAGGGGGTACCTGCAGCAGTCCAAGGGCACCGTGGAGCCAGAGCAGGCCCCGGGTGAGGCAGAGCCCCTCTCGGGCTGTGCAGGGTCCGTGCAGGGCCTGGGCAGCACCGACACCGTGCTGGACGTGGAGTGCTCCGAGCTGGCCGTGTCCAAAGGGTATTTGAAGCAGTGCTCCCCCGAGCATCCCCTCACACAGGACCTGGCTCCATGGGGAGCCCCCACCTGTGACTTCCCCAGCCAGGTGGGACCCCAAGCCCCCACCCTGCTGAGCTGGGCAGCCCCAGCTGCTCCACTGACCTGCAAAGGCAGCCTTGATCTGAAAACTCCCTTCGACCTGAACGTCTTCAACAACAACAACAACGCTGCCCTGCTGGGGACGCTGCTGCCCGTCCCCAGCTGGATCACACTGCCCACCCAGCCCCTGGGCCAGCTCAGCGGGGACAGCAAGGACAGCCGCCTGTGACCCGTCCCTGGGGGCCACCAGCCCTGTGCTCTGACCCGACTACCTCGTCTGCCACTGGATAAGCTACTCCTGACCCTGAATGTCCACGGTGCCAGGCCCAGGAGCACCAGCTCAGTCACTGTGGGGCTGCTGTGGGCACCCCTCCAGCCACCCCAGCTAACGGGACACAGCGATGGGCTGTGCTGGAGGGGCTCATCCCGACCTCCTCGTGCCTCCCAGGATACACTCCAGGGCACCTCTGCCCTGCCTGCCCTCCTCAGCAGCCCAGCACGGGGTGCAGGGCCACTCTGGGGGCCTGGGCTGGTCCTGTGCTTCACTTCCCCCTTGCCTGGGCCAGCTGGGCTGCTCCTGCTGACGTCCCCGTGCTGGTGTTAATCCCAGCCTTTCACAACTCGGAGACTGAGGGAGAGGTCAGGCTGACATCAGCACCCTGCTGCTGGCAGCACGGGGCTCCTGCCCTGCCTGACCCCACGTGGATGCACCAAGAGACTTTCCTGACCCTCCAGAGACCCTTCAGCACCCATTCCCTCTGGGAGAGCCCCAGGGCAGGATTTGGGATGCACCTACAGCCCAGCAGGAGCCAGGGCACTCCTACCCACACTATGGTCTGTGTTCTGTTGGACACAGACATTATTTATTGTGTTTCATTTGTAAATACAGAAAGGATGTGGTGTTATTTATTCGATCCATTTGTCTGTTCATCCTCTTCTTTCTGTTTCCACATTTGGACATTCCCCATCAGCAAGGGGCAATGTGCCTTTGCCTCATGTGGGGAGGAGCATTTCCACATCACAACTGGGAAAAAGGAGAAGCAAGCCACTCTCCAGGAGCTCCTGGTGCCTGTCCCTGGGGAATTTGTGGGGGCAATCACCAGAGAAGCAGCAGGGAAGAGGAGCTGGGCTGCTCCCAGTGATCCCACAGGGAAGCCCATCCCATGGGACACCCCCAGGGAAGGACAGGAGGACAAATCCAACCCAGGTGGGGAGGAAAGACAACAGTCAGGGCTCTGCTCAGCAACGTGGTGCTCAGCCATAGGTTGGGCTCGATGACCTCATAGGTCTTTTCCAAACAAATTGATTCTGTGATGCTGTGAACAGCTGTCATCAGAATGGAAACAGGATGAGCCCCAGCCCTGAGCCACCCTCCAGGTCGCAGGGAAGCTTTTCCAAAAGTCACTCCATTTCTAGGAACCTTCACGGTGGGAAGTGAAACTGCTGGTGGAAACTCTCCTCGGGGAATGTGGTTTTCTGGTGAAGGGTTTTGGGGTTCTTTTCAGCTTTTCCAGCACAGGGAGGAAGAGGGGGCTGATCCTTGCTGTGTTTCCTCCTCTTACATCTCACACGTGAGATCCATCCCTGCATCCCACAGGGATGTGGAGGGCACTGGGAGCCTCCTCCTGCCCCTCCACTGGCCCCATCTCTTCTGCCTCTGCGTATTTTGGGGGTTAGAGCTTTTTGCTTTCTTCTTTTTTTTTTTTTCAACTTCCTCTGGAAAACAGAGTCATCAAAAGCATTGCGCTTTTTTTTTTTGGTTGTTTTTCTTTCAAACACTGCTGACGTAACGGCCAGATCCTGCATCATGCAGGGCTCTGCCAGGTCCTGCTCGCCACCGAGGGCTCCCAGCCCCCAGGAGGTGGCATTTCCCCCTCTCCTGGGCAGGCAGAGATCTCCTTTCAGCCAGGAGAAAGCTGCAGACCACAGGGTTTAGCTTCGATGGCCGAGAGCACAGCCGGTCCCTCTGACTCCCTGGAAATCCCTCTCTGTCCTCGCTGGTTTCCCTACACACAGCCACGTGGCTCTCGTGAGTTTTTCTGTTTCTTCTGAGAGAAACTTGCAAAGAAATGAATCCCAAGGCTCCCCGTGCCTCTCCAGGCCCCGATGGCCAAGCAGGGCCCCTCTCTGTGGCCACAGAATCTCCCCACGGCTGTTCCTGCACTCCAGGCACTTCCACAGCTGCTTGTTCTGCTGAGACCGAAGGAAACTGGCCCAAAAAATCCAGGAGAAACTTCCACAGGGGCTTCCTGAGCCGTTTCCTTGCACTGGGAGTGTGGTGAACCAGCTTCCACGTTGGTGCAGGTATTGGATGGAGGAGGAGGACTGAGACAGATTTCCCGTTTCCCGGCGCTGTTTTCCAAAGTTGCAGAAATCCAGTCACCCAGTTCTGGGGCTCCTCCTCGGCTGCTTCCCTAAGGAAAAACCTGCTGCCAGGTCTCTGGGTGTGCAGGGGGCTGCGAGGTCTCTGAGCTGTTTTCTCCAGGATGTTGAGGAATCCTGGGATAAGGCTGCATCCTCCTCCTCCATGCCAAGCACCAGTGCTGTTGCAGGCACCTCCTGCGCACCTGTGCCTGCAGAGGGCCAGCGAGAGAACTGCAGATGGAGGAGATGCCAGGGAATTCACGGAGTTTCCCTCTCTGGAGACGTTCCAAACCCACCTGGGCGTTCCTGTGTCACCTGCTCCAGGTGACCTTGGGCGCGGGGGGGCTGGACCAGGTGGTCTCCAGAGGTCCCTTCCAGCCCCAAGGATTCTGTGATTCTGGGAAGCATTTTTAGCAACAGAAACTGCACCGTTTCCATTTCGGTTGAAATCCAGCAATTTCAGGGGCTGTTTCTTACAGAACTGAAAAGGAGGAATTCCCCCAGGCAGTTTTGGTTGCTTTTTCTGTTGGTGCTGGGCTCTGAGTAAGAGGCAGCGAGAGGAAGCTCTGCAAGAGCACCCGGGCTCCAGCCCCATCCCTCTGTGCCTGGCCACACGTCCCATGCCAGGGACAGCAGGACAGGAAACACAACCAAAGCCTGTGCGGGGAGAAACCAAACCCAGAGCTCAGGGAAAGGCCCAGAGCCACAGGCAGGGCTTGTGCTGGAAAATCCCGGGCGCTGTCCTGAGGAAAGCTGTGATGGCCAGGGGCTGGAGGCAGCACAGCACTGGGGGGCAGGGGGTCACAAGGGGATGTCCTTCCTACCTGCTCAGCAGCCCAGCTGTCACCTCACGGCCTCTGGTTGTGGAAGGGCTCGTAGCCACTGCCCGAGGTGCCCAGAGAGCCACTGATGCTGAACGGTGGCACCAGCTCCAGTGCCACCGACCCCAGCCCGCTGCAGGGACAGCAGAGGGGTCACCACGCTGCCCATCCCCCAGCCCCCAGCCCCTGCCAGCAGCAGAACTGGGTGGGGAGGGGGTGTGACACCTTGGCACAAAGAGAGCTGTGCGTGGTCCCCCCAGGGTGTCACTCACCGCGAGTGGTACAGGCTGAAGACAAAGTCAGGCCCTGGGGAGGCACGAGGAAGAGGAGGGAGAGGTGTCAGAGCCACGTGTTGCCGTGAGCCCGCCTGTGCTTTGCCGCGAGTGGCAGCCTGGGGACAGGCAGGACAGGCAGCAGGACAGCAGCAGGACATCGCTGTGCATCCCTCTCCTCACCTCAGAGAGCCCCCTGCACCTGGGGTTCCCTCTCCGCTGTTCCCAACACCCCAGGCTCCGTGCTCTGAGCCCCCCTGTCCCCTGCCCTGTCCCCCTGTCCCCTGCCCTGTCCCCCTGTCCCCTGCCCTGCCGTACTCACGGCGCTGGCCGTGGCCCCGCCGGTACCAGCGGATGAAGGTGTAGCCAAAACTGGCCAGGATCAGCAGGACCAGTCCGATGCCCAAGACAACCCCGATCACCTTGACGGGCTCTTGTCCTGGAAAGCAGAGGGAGGAGGGGCTCTGCAGACAGACCTCTGTGGGGCTGGGGGTCCCGATTGTCCCCTGCAGGGCTCAGGACAGCCGGGAGCGAGGCTACAACTCTCCAGCATGAGCTGTCCCCCCAGGCAGGGAGGGACTGCAGGGCTGCCAGGACCGTGGCACGGAGATTTCTGCTGTCCCCAAAGCCCCGTGACGGAGAGCACAGCTGTCCCCAGGTGAGCTGGCAGGTGGCACGGTCACTGGGAAGGGACGTGGCCACCCTGGCCGTGCTGTAGCCCGCTGCTGGTGCCGCTCACGCCCTCGTGGGGCGATGCTCCTTTCCTGGCGGCGCTGGAGCCATTCCTGGGCTGGCAGTTCCCTCTAGAGGATGCTTTTGTCAGGACCAGCAGCCAGGCTGGGACGGGACACGGCCGGGGCAGTGCGGGACCTGAGCGGGCTCTGCACCGCCCATCCTGGCCCTCGCTGAGCGGGGTCTGGCAGGACCCAGCACCGATCAATGCTCCCGGAGCTGTCAGCACGCCAAAGTGCCCCGCACAGCCCCTGAGCATCGATTGCTGCGCGGACAGCTCTGCCGGGGCTGTGCCAGGAGGGCACAGGGGGGGTCTGGGCACTGCCCAGAGGAGGGCACAGGGACGGGGCTCAGTGCGGCACCGGGAGCGAGGAGACAGCGGAAAGGGATGACCTAAGAGCAGCTAAATTTAGGCAGATGCCAGCGGAGTGAGAACATTTCCCCTGTGGTCACGGTGTTTACACAGCGAGCACGGTCCTGCAGCCCGCAGCGCCCTCTCCGCCCGGCGGGACGGACAAACAGCCGCGGGCAGAGCTCCCAGCCCGGCCGCAGCTCGCAGGGCTCGCGGGGAGGAGCAGGACCTGCCCTGCCCTTGCTTTCCCTCCCAGCCGGCCCTCCTGGCAGGGCTCAGGGTACGTGGGTGGCCAGATTTTCTGCTGGGGCAAGGGCGAGCGGCAGCCCCGGGACCCCCGGTGAGGGCGAGGTCCGGGAGCCGCGGCAGCCGTGACTCACGGCAGGAGCTGCGTGGTGCAAGAGCCTCCCTGAATTAGCCGGCTGCCGAAACTGCCCCGTCCCCACGCCCACCGCCCGTGGGAGGGTGACGGCGGCGTGCCCTGGCCCTGCCCCGTGCCCTGCGTGGGAGGGTCCCTGCCCTGGCACCCTCGGGAGCATCCCCGGGGATGGCTCTGAGCAGCACGGCTCGGGCACAGCCACCCAGCAGTGAGACCCAGAGGAAGGTCACCAAAGCACTGCCCGTGCCATGAGCCCCCCACCTCTGCCCCCTGAGGGGGCAAAGACCACCCACTCACCTGCCTGGGGGTCCATGTCCCGCTGCTGTGCCACGGGAGCTGCTCTCGGTTATCCCGGCCTGGAGCTGCTGCTGAGCCCTCTGTGCTGGAGCCTGGCACGTCCTGGCTGTGCCCTGTCTCCTGGTGACACGGCTGCCTCCCTGCAGCGAGGCTGGGCACCAGTCCTGGCCCACTGGTCCAACTGGTTCTCAGGGAGAAAGCAGAGGAGCTGCAGCAGACACGACCGAGGGCAGCTCTGCCCTGCCTGCGTGGGCAGCTCTGCCCTCCCGCTGCTGGAAGAGGCTGAACTGGGAGTACTGGGAGCCCGAGGGGCAGGGACACCCTGGACACAGGTGTGCCCAGCTCTGGCAAGGTGCCCGAGTGTCCGTGTCCTCTGATTGTCACCTCCAGGTAAGGCCAGCAGCCAGAAAGGGGGCAGAGACCCTCGCAGAACCCAGGCTGGGGGCCTCAGGCAGCACCCCAGGGGACAGGGAAGGACAGGGGTGACCCTCAGCAGCTGCCCCCAGTCAGACACCCCAAAATGAGGCACTTACAGCTCTACTTGATCATCTCCGAGTCCCAAACCAGAGCGTCTCTTGGGAATCAGCTCCTGTTTGTAACAAGAAAGAAAACCACCTGCTGTGGCTGCAGGGAAAAGTGACCAACAGCTGTAACCCTGAACAGCTGGAAACTGAGCAAATCTCCTCCCTGCTCGGTGCTGCTGTGCCAGGCACAGCCTCTGAACCTGCCGTGCCCCACATCAGCGGCCCTGGGCAGGAGCCAAGCCCTGAGCAGCCCTGCCCAGCTGAGCACTCGGCGATGCCTGGGGGTGCAGAGCACAGAGGGGACAGCGGCAGCTGCAGCCCCCGGGGGCTGGCACCGTCCTTGCCTCGCAGAACACAGGGATGGGGATGTGTCCGTGCGGCTCCGGGATGGTCACCCAGAGCCCTGGGCCAGGCCAGCCTGTCCTCTGCCCGACCCCAGTGGAGCCAGGTGCCTGGGGACCTGTGCTGTGCCAGGAAACCTGTGCCATGCCTGGAAACCTGTGCCATGGCTGGAAACCTGTGCCATGCCCAGAAACCTGTGCCATGGCTGGAAACCTGTGCCGTGCCCGGCTCCGGGAGCAGGGAAGGGTGGCTGGCTGCAAACGCGGCCGCACTCCAGGAAGCAAAGCCCCGGAGGCGCGGGGCTGTGACACAACACTGCAAAGCCGACTGTGTCCCCAGAGCCCGCGGGTCCCCAGGGCAGGACAGGCTGCTCCCGCCGTGCCACCGCTCCCGGGCTGCTCTCCCTGGCTGGCACCGGGATGCTCTGGGGAGGCTGCCAGGACCTGCCAGGTGCACCTGGGAGCCAAGGCCTGCCCAGCTCCCGCTGCTGCAGCCCGTGAAACGTTTCTCAAGCTGAAATCTGCCACAGCAGCACGGGCAGCCTCTGGCTGCACCCTACATCCCACATCCTCTGGGCAACACGGGGACCATGAGGGCTGAGGTGCCCACACCTCCCAAGGGGGCTGGATGCTCAGTGTGAGTGTGGGGAGGGTGCCCCTTACCTGCAGAGCCACAGGTGCATCCCTGGCCAGACTGGGGGAGCGGGCAGGGTCCCTGCTGGCAGGGGTGAGCTGGCACAGCCATGGCACAGCTCCCTGAGGAGCTGCAGGCAGTGGATGCTCTGCAGTCTCCCGCTGGCAGCAGCAGGGCCGTTGGGAAAGATGCATTTCCATGGGAGAAGGGGGTAATTAGCTGCATTTCCATAGGAGAAGGGGGTAATTAGCTGCTCGGCACATCCTGCACACCCAGCAGCTCCGGCATCAGCGTGCAGAGGGCGGCCAGCAGCCTCCCCGACCCCAGCCCGCTCCCTGGGCCACCCTCACCCCTGCGGCGCTGCCTCCTGCACTCCTCAACCTCCCTCCCTTCCTGCCAGGCTAAGGCAAGCTGCTCCATCCCAGAGGGATTGGGTGTTCCTGGACAATCACAGATCCACGACCCTCAGCCGTCGCCGGGATCACCCCATTGTCCCCCCTGCAGCCTGGGGTACCCATGGGCACCCAGCTGCCTTCCCTTTAACCTGCCCCAGCCCTGCCAGCCGTGACCCGGCCCTGGCGGGGACACACAGCCCGAGTGACCCAGGGCACAAACTCTCCTCCTTTCCTCCTCCACCTACTCGAAGCTCGCTTTGACAACAACCCAGCGCAACGCGGAAGAGCCGGACAAAGAGCGGGGTGGCCGTGGATCCTCTTATCATCAGGAGGAGCAGGAAAAATCAGTCCGTTCACTTCTGATAAGCTATTTGGTGACAGCAGCGCCGCAGGTGAGTCACCTGCAGTGGAGATGCTCGGGAGATTACCGCAGGTGATGGTGCTGCTGATAGACCGGTGTTGTATTACAATACAAACCAGAATTCCTGTTTCACAACTCCCCTTGTGGGTTTTAAGGAGGGCCGGGGCGGTCCTGCCCCAGTGTGAGCGCGGCGTGGGCACCGAGCGCAGGGCACGGGCTGCGGGAGCATCGCGGGCCGGCTCCAGGGCAGCCGCAGCCTCCCCGAGCACCGGGGACATCTGCCGGGTTTCCGCGGGCCGCAGGACCCCGCCGGAGCTGGATGGACATGGTGAGTCCCTGCCGGCGTCGCCCCCAGCCCCGGGACGGGCACCAGCCCCCCGCACACCCCGTGCCCGGCCGCGCTGCCAGCCCCGGGAGGTGCTGAGGGCATGGGGCAGCCCGGGCACAAGGAGCTGCTGCTCCCCAGCAGCCGAGGAAGGGTTTCTCCCATTCCTCACAGCCATCCGTGGCTGGACACGGAGCTTGGGTGCCAAGGAAGGGTTTCCCCCATTCCTCACAGCCCTCTGTGGCTGCACACAGAGCTTGAGTGCCAAGGAAGGGTTTCCCTTGCTCCTCACACCAGTCTGTGGCTGGACACGGAGCTTGGGTGCCAAGGAAGGGGTTCTCCTGCTCCTCACAGCCCTCTGTGGCTGGACACAGAGCTTGAGTGCCAAAGGAGGGTTTCCCCCATTCCTCACAGCCCTCTGTGGCTGCACACAGAGCTTGAGTGCCAGGGAAGGTGTTCCCCTGCTCCTCACAGCCCTCTGTGGCTGGACACGGAGCTTAGGTGCCAAGGAAGGGTTTCCCTTGCTCCTCACACCAATCTGTGGCTGGACACGGAGCTTGGGTGCCAAGGAAGGGTTTCCCCCATTCCTCACAGCCCTCCGTGGCTGGGCATGGAGCTTGAGTGCCAGGGAAGGTGTTACCCTGCTCCTCACAGCCCTCTGTGGCTGGACACGGAGCTTAGGTGCCAAGGAAGGGTTTCCCTTGCTCCTCACACCAATCTGTGGCTGGACACGGAGCTTGGGTGCCAAGGAAGGGTTTTCCTTGCTCCTCACAGCCTTCTGTGGCTGCACACAGAGCTTGGGTGCCAAGGAAGGGGTTCTCCTGCTCCTCACAGCCCTCTGTGGCTGCACACAGAGCTTGAGTGCCAAGGAAGGGTTTCCCTTGCTCCTCACAGCCCTGTGTAGCTGCACACAGATCTCGGGTGCCAAGGAAGGGTTTCCCTTGCTCCTCACAGCCCTGTGTAGCTGCACACAGATCTCGGGTGCCAAGGAAGGGTTTCCCCCATTCCTCACAGCCCTCTGTGGCTGGACACAGAGCTTGGGTGCCCCCCAAGCCCTCACTCCCACATTGCTGGGGCTGCCTTTCCCTCTCCTGGCCCAGGCAGCAGACAAGCAAGGCAGTGCCCCCCATGCCAAGGGGAACAGGACCTCCTGAAGGGTCTCATCCCACTTCTGGGCACCACCTGGGGCAGAGCCAGGCCCTCCCAGCCCCCTGCCCAGCACAGGGGACACACCAGCAGCTCCCTGTGCAGGAGCAGCCACGGCCACCAAACGCCAGGCTGGCACGCAGTCCCTCCCTGGGAGGGAGACGCTTCCCCAGGAAGGCACACACCAAGCTCGGCGGGCACTGCAAACCCTCCAGCAGCAGCACAGAGGGACATCAACCCCTGCAGGGTGGGGAATACACTCCCTGCAGTGTCTGCACACACCCGCGGGGCAAATCCCCCAGCCAAGGAGTCGCCCTCGGAATCTGATCACCCTGCAAAGCTCCCCTTGGCGAGGGAACGTCCCCCCTGCTCCCGAGGGAGGCAAGGAGCCCGGCTCAGCACACCCTGCAGCCCCTGCTGAAAGGGGAGAAGAGGTTCAGCAGAACTCCACGGCTCCTGGGCTGGCACTGGCACAGCTGGAGCCTGGCATGGCCACGGTGGCATGAAGTGCCCCAGAAGAAAGCAGCAAGGGAGCTCAATCAGTCACGGTTGCATGGAGCTCTGCAGGAAATCTTGTGCCTCTGAGAGAAGGCACAGCCCTCCCTGGCTTTGGATTTAACCAGTGCTGCTCCTGCTCGTGGTGGGCTCGAGAGGAGTCATGGAGAGGCAGCCCTAAGCTCTGAATCCCTTTGAAACAGAAGAGGTTCATGGACTGAAGAAAATGCAAAAAAAAACCCCAAAACCCAATAATCACCCATCTCATCTGCATCCACACCAGACCCGTGCCTTGCAAAAGGATCCCAGCCATGGATGACGTGATGGGGACAGGAATGGGCAGTGTGGGGGCAGAGGGACAGCCGTGCTGCTGCAGTGGGGCCTGCAGGATCCATCCCCACCTGGGCCATTCCTGCTGGGAACCGTTAGGATCCCATTATCCAGGAGATGCCCGGCCCAGGCCCAGGTGACACAGGAGGTCAGCATGAGGAAGGACTGGCCCCACGTGCCCTGGGCTGGCAGAACTTGGGGCAGCATTCCAAAACTCCCAGGCCTCTGGGAGTTCTTCCCTTCTCCGCGGAGAAGCGGCTCAGGAAGGGCAGCGAGGTGGGAGATGCAGGACCCAGGTTCCCACCCTGCCCTCCTGCTCCCAGCAGCTCCCTGGCACCAGGAAACAGCCTCTGCACCCCAGAGCCCGTCCAGGGCTGGGGAATTTGGCACAAGCTGTCCACACTTGCCACGGGTGCCAGCTGAGCCTGGCTTTGGGAAAAAGGCTGCTGGCATTTCCTCAAGGAG